ACAGTATAATTGCAACGCACGAGGCCTTCGGCCACGTGCTTTTGCTATTATCCTGCCAATACCCATGTATCCGTCAAATCATGCCAGATAACAAGAAAGTATTATGCAGAAATCCGGATCATTTTTGGAAATTTATGAAACATTCATCTCACGATTATCGAAACCTAATCTTTAATGTGCGACATTATTAACATAATTCTGGAAATTTGTGAAATATTCATCTCACGATTATCGAAACCTAATCTTTCAATAATGCACTTAGTGCATTTATTGTACTTACATTTCCTTTACTCAAAAAAAAACAAAAGAAAAAAGAAATTTCGGAATCACCAAATATACTAGTAAAGTATTATTAAACATGAATAAATACAAGCTGAATTTGGGCTTCATAAAACTTGTGAGTTTTTAGAAATATTTAATTTGTCTTAAAAACAGAATGTTTGTAAACATTTAATTAGCCTTAAAATTAAAAAAGAAATCCCGAAATCACAAAATATACAATCAGATGCCCTAAATGCAACCTCCCTAAATGCAACGCCTCACTAATTGTTTGGCCCATTTATAACACTCCTTCAATAAATGCATTATTTTCATGCTGCTAAAGTCAAGTTTTTCACGTGATAATAATCACATTATGATCTTATTGATGTTCCCTAATTGTTGCCCTCCCTAAATGTGCACCCTAAAGCTGGTTCCGACAACGTGCATTTAGGGAGGTCTGACTGTACTAGTAGAGTATTAATAAACATGAATAAATACCAGCTGAATTTGGACTTCATAACGCTCACAGATTTTTGGAAATATTTAATTTGAATATCCGTGTCTTAAAATTAACAAGCATAATGAAATTCTTCATTTTTGGCATATTCTTTGCGCTTTTGCTTAACTTTGTAACCGCGCATTATCGGCTTTTGGTGCCTCGACCTAGAAATGACGCTTCTTGCGATTTTGGTGCTCCGTGTGGTGATAAATATCGTGATATTAATCAGACCACCATTTCCACTTTTCCTAGTGAGTATACAAATTAATATCCTGTAAAATTGTTCTTTTTTCCATTTCTAATAAATATTAATTTATTATAATAGTAAAGGGTTATTCTACACTTAGACATACTCATGCTGTCAATGGTACTCTGTTTTATTTGTATTCTAATGATGGCGGCGCTAAGTTCAACCCCGTGGCAGGTGAATATATGATTTTGTCGCATAATTTGGATTGAAAATTACTTTAATTATTTTATTTTCATTGCAAATAATAAAGAGCCTAGATTCTATAACGTCACTAATCAATTTGGTGAGAATTTAACGACCTTTGTTGATCTAACCAAGGCCGGTGCAACTGTTGGCACTCAAGGTATTCTTCAAACATATTTTATTCACGGCAATGATACTTCTCCAATCAATACGACGTGGTACCAATGTGCTGATATTAAGGTCATTGATGAGCTTAATACCCTAAATAAGTCTTTTAGCTCTACTTCTAGCGCTGTTTCTATTA